AACCGTGACTTTAAAATTTGTTATTTTGTGACTCAAAATATAATTTGTCACCAACAAATTTTCTTAACTTGGAACCAATTAAAAATCTGCGACCTATAATTTTTTTCATTTATGATCTCGAAATAATCTGTGAACAATTAATTTGATAAGTTGTAATGAAAATTAAATTTTTAAGTACTTAATAAAATATCTGTGACCTCGAAATCGGAGCAATTACCGGAATTAAGCGGCGGTGAACGGTCATTGGAATAGTCGTCGAAATTAAACGCAGTCGGAGAACAGTCGCCGGCCACTGGAGTAGTAGCCGGAGCAGTAGGGGTGGTGGATGAGGGGTGGGGTGGGTTGATTATATTATATTACAATTAAATATTTAATTTAATATAATAATTATAAATTATAATTAATTAATTCATGAAAAAATCTGATTTTTGCAATTCTAAAACTTGGGACTTAATTTTTGATTTCATGATAGATAATACATCATCCATGAATTTTTCCCAATAAATATTTTAATGTAGATGTCCAAAATGAGCCTTGGACCTGAGCCCTAACATTTGTTAATAATTGCAGGAATTGTGCACACATGGCAAAACTAAATATGATTTCACACAGATGCACGTGTTATTGGCGCGTTTAGTCAAGTTGTACGTAGAGTTTTTCATGATCGTGAGAAGAATGCTCGCATCGAACAAAGGCGGAAGCCATGCCATGTAGAATTTACTTGGTGGTGGTAATGCATATGTACTATTTTCTTGGTAGCATACGTGAGATAGATTATGAGTGTGTAGGATTTCTTAGTAGCATGTACGGAATTGCTTATTAGCATTTGAGATTTCAAGACATCATGCTCGAAATTGCTTATGAGTATGCAGGATTTCTCATTAGCGTGCACGGATAGGCATCGATGGCAAGACATGCCTATGGATATCGCTGATGCGGGCATTGATTTGCAAGCAACAAAGTATGGATGAATGTCAGCTTACCGTCTTAGCTAATTTTAGTCAAGACCCAGTTAACATAAAATTGGCACAAGGATGACACATGATTGAGTGTTAAAGTCAATTTGTAGAGTTCTTGAACAATGGTGTAGTTTGGCCTCTGTCCATGCAATGTTGCCGTCAAGTAAAATTTCGCATTGCATGGCCTCTGCCCCTGTCGAATGCGTACATTCTTTGCATATTTGTCAAAATTACACACAACTTGGCCAAATCGACCAATTACACACATGAGATATCACTAGTGTTGTCAAATGCGTACGATTCTTGCACAACCGTGCTTGACAAAGGGCAAGGCGCATATGCATGTCAAAGTTTCACGGGTTACCTTTCTTATCCCACCATTTCTGCCACCGTCGCCGCCTCCGTCCATGGTGGTTTCTTGAATTCAATAATCAATCCTACTCAGAAACACAAAAACGTGTTCCAATACAGAAAATTGTGGAAACTTCAAGAGAAATGGAAGAAATGGGATTTTGAGGAAGAAAAGAGTGAGGTTTCTGGATGGTAATAATTGACTTTTGAAATGCGGAGCATGGGATCGTTAAGATATTACTGTCCTTTAAAAGATACTGTACAGTAAATTTTGTCATCATCATAAAAGTTGCGTAGAGGTTCATATTTGTTACCCTATCCAATAAATACATGATTGAGTCGGAAAAGTAGGATTGTTACAACTTTCAAATCTCAATCCATTAAATAATACAATTGTTTGAGATATGATTGAGATTTTGATTAACTTTTCAAAAATTATACAAACCTTTATATCTCAAGTTTCAAAAATTATATAATTTTTACTTATTTCAAAGATACTTCATCCATTTTCAAAAATTATATAAATTTTTCAAGTTTCGAGTAAACCGTATCGCCGTTCATGAAAATTTTAAATATATCCACCTAATTTAAAAATTACACAAATCACTCTTATTTTTAAGTTTTAGAATAATGCATATTAATAATAGTGTTAATATTTAGTCCTTGTTTGGTACCGATTAACATCTAATAATTTAAGTCAAAATCAACAATTCATTTCAATCACATATTTTATGGGTCCCACAACTGTTCAACTACACATTTCATCATTTTTTATCAGAATCTACTAAAAATCTCTTATTTTTATCTCCCAAAACATATTTCTCTCTCTCTCTCTCTCTCTCTCTCTCTCTCTTATTTTCAACCACACATTCTTCAATAAAATAATATTACACGCAAATTTAAAAATCTTCCTTATTTTTTAACCACACATTCTTCATCAAATTATTATTCTAAAATGCATTTTTTTGCACCAAAAAAAAAAAATCGAGCTCAAACAGACTCTAAATCAACAACAAAGTACTGTTTATAATATTGATTCTTCAAAAACTCATCAATAAATACTATGATTTGAGATACTCAAAATATATTTGCATAGTTCATTTCAAGTTTTACGGTCAAACAACACGATAGTATTCTAATAAAAACAAAATACTAAACATTTCATTTTGTTATAAACCAATAACCGTATACAAAATGTTTAAGAAGTAAGACATGTATA